GGCATGCTTTGCAGCATGCTTTATTATTTTAGTGTTCCTTCTGCTTGCCAGAGTTTTCAGGCCTTTTCACAGTTCTAAAGATAGCGTAGCTATTTCTTTCTTTAAAAAAAAAAAAAAATTCTAATTTCTATTCATTCTCGTTTAACTAGTTGTATTTACACATTTACCCAACACTTGTGCTTCATTTTCTTTTTGTGCACATGCTGCTTCACTTTGTCATCCAGCTCGTTTGACTTGCTCAGATTTTCAAGATAAAAATCGTCTCTTGAAAGAAAAATAGAGCTTAATTTTAAAAGTAGAGTTCTAAAGCTTTAGATTCAAGTTTGGCTGACTTGAACTTAACGGAGGGCTTCAGACCCCTGCATGTCCATCCCTGATGCATTTCTACATTTCTGTCAGTATCCCTACTTGATTCTTAAGAGTAGATAATGAGAAGCCTCACTCGCTTATCTCTCTCTCTTGAAACTGAACTGGTTCTGTACTTTTGACCAAAAGCCTTAGCCCAGAAACTATACCTATATTAGTATGTTGGCCTCAGTTCTGGTTAGAGAAAAGGCTATATGTCTGTAAGTGCGTAAGTACAATGTTTGAGAGAGGGGAGGTGTTTGCACAGGGTTGTGTTTGTGGTTAAACAGTAGTAAATGTGTAAAGGTATCTTTTTCCCAAGTTTCCAAGTGCTGTCAAATCATCATATTTCTTACAAGAGCCCTTTGATAGGAGTATATCTCTTGTGCAAAAATAAATGAGTCTCTGAAAGAGATTCATTTTATGTTTTTAAATAAAATGATAGACTAGATCCTGCTAGCCCAAACACTTTTATTCTCTTCACAGTATTACAATGGTATCAAAGAACATTTAATATAAATTCTTTTAGACCTTCCGTCTCAAAAAACAGCTTTAACAGTTAATATTTCTCTTACGGAATTATGCATTTTTTTGAAGGATTATGGGATTTCTTGATTGGAATACAAAATTAGAACAAAATTGCCCAAGGAAATACATACATTACTATCATTTATTTTTAATGCTTCTTGTACTTAGCTAGGATTTAATATCTTCATAGTTTTCCAATCTATAGATCCTCCTAACTTAATCTGTAATTATTAAATAGACATTTCCCCCCCAGTGTGTTACTTATCCTATTTGTGAAGATTATCTTTTGAAGACTTAGAATAGCAATGAATGCCTGTATCACATGCTTCCAAAAACTAGAAGCAAAGGAGCAGTGTTGGGTTATGAGTAGAATGGATATCATTTTCCTCGATTCTTGAAATTGGTGAGGAAAATAAAATTTTATTCTTCACTGCGTACTTGCCAAAGGATTGAGGTGGTAGTGGATTGAAGCATAAAATTATTATTGAACCAAAAGTGTTTGTCTTTCAAACTGTGTTTGTAAGTGTTTCACCATAGAAATTGGCCATTAATTCAGAGTGGTTTACAAATTTATCCTGGAATTCTGATTGTTGGAGAGAATCATCAAACACTAGTCAGAGTAAATAGCAACAAATGATTGCTTTAAGAGAGTCTAAAACTGGCATGCCCCTTAAAAAGATTTAGTGAGGTAACCATGAGATGAGAGATTCTGCTGCTAAGTATACATTGCCTGAAACTATCATGGCATTCAGTTGAATTGTAAGAAATGATTGCTGTTGATAATAAGATAGTTATTATAAAACTTACACGATAAGCTTGTTTTATTAAATAGTTTTATTAGATTGCTTTTATTAGATTCTTTGTTAATACTGTATGAGCAGGAAGAATAAATATTTGACAGAGAACAAAATGGGGATATGTTTATTTTGCTTTGCCTAATTTTGTTGAAGAAGTTTTATGTAAGATTTTTATAATCAGAGTGTTATGAGTCTATGAGAGTGGGCAAGAATAAATCTAGAAATAAAATAGGCTTAAAAAATCCAATTTAAGTCTCTTTTGATCTGTTCAAGGCTGAGAATACACCACAGAATCATGCCAGTGCTATTTCTGACCAAGAAGTTAATGCCAATTCTTTCCTGCCTAAATGTTTTTGTGTGCCATTGAAACACTTGCAACTCATAGCAATCATCTGTATAATAGCTCTCTATGAAGCCTGCCCTATTCTGAGCCAGTGTCCCTGCCTTCAACACACTTACCCCTGTTACCCTAGTTACTGTGTCAACCCATCATCCAGGGTCTTCCTCTCCTGCGCAGTCCGTCCACCCTTCTGAACATGATGTCCTTCTTCAGGGACTGGTCTCTCCTGGCCACGTGCCCAAAATATGTCAGACAGAGCTTCAAAATCCTAGCCTCCATGGAGAAACTTGGTTTCACACTCTCCAAGACAGACCTGTTTGTTCTCTTGGCGGTCCATGGTATGTTCAGTACTCTCCTCCATCACCACAACTCAAAGGAAATTGATTGTTCTGTCATCCTTAGTCATTGTCCTGGTCTCTGGTGCATAGCAAGTAATTGCGAAGACGATGGCCTGGAGAGGTTCCTAATTTCCCCAGTGCAGTTTGTTTGGGGATAAAGTAAGGAGGGTTTTGATTCCATCTGGCATCAGAAGACTATATGTGAATTCTCTCCTTTCTCACTTAGTTCTATAACTAAGGACAAGTTCTTTAATCTGAGTCTTTGGTTACCCTTATAAAACATGGGATGGTGTGGTGCTACTTTTTGCCTCAAAATTTTGTATGACAGGTATTGGTAAAAGCATTTTATCAAACAGCCATATTTAGGCATTGTACTTTTAAAAAAAATTTTTTTATTTTTTATTTTTGTATGTACCATTAAATCGGATCTGACTGGTACAAGAAGAAGATTGTCCCTCATTCTCCACAACAGAGCATCTGGTGAATTTGAACCACTCATCTCTGGGGTTGTAATACAGCTTTTTACCACTAGGCCACCAGAGCTCACCAGGCATTGTTCATTTTATTGCAGTCAGTGTTTGATAGATCTTCTGGCATTGCCTTTCTTATATTTGTTAACGAACTAATAACTATCACCAAGGAAACTTCCTTCAGAAAGTTTTTAATTTTCCAGAGTCCTTAGGTTTTATGAAACCAAACATTTTGCCTGAGTAAATGATCCTGTAGGAACATTATGGCATATTGGTTAAATATACAGGCAACAGACCTAGGTTCACACAAACTAAATCGCAAATCCCTCTAGGCATAAAATGATATAATACTTACCTTGTAGAAGGATTGAGAGGATTGAGTTTAATGAGGTGCTTAAAGCACTTCATGGGGCCCAATTTATTGTAAGTTTGCAATGCTTCTAATTTTCTTTCTGATGAGCAAAGACTGAAAATGCTTGTTAGTATGTAATCATTAGGGTAACTTAGGAAAAGATAAAAATTAGACATATTGCACTCAAAGTTCCAGCAATTAAATCCAAACTACAAAATAGCTTATGGAATTTTACCTGTTACTTTGTCCATATTTTCCTCACAGGAGAAGGATGGTAAGAATGGCAGGCAGCAGCTATCTATAAATTGAGGAGGATAGGGGAGAATGGTGGGAGTGGAATAGAAAAAGAAAATAGAGATTTTCATGTCAACATGCAGTTTTCTATGATTAAAGATTTTAAAGGGTTTTTTAGTAACGTCAGTCCAGAGTTTTAGCTTTTTTTTGTGCTGAGGTAAAGACACAGATCAAAAATCATTAAGAGTCATTAATTAAAATCATTCATCCAGAAATACTGCAGGCTGTTCTCTGGCTCTGTTCTGCTATATAAAGAAAATGTTTCTAGGTAAAATAAAGACTGGTGGCATTTCCATGACAACAAAACTAAAATGATCTAGAAGGTGACTCAGTGGATTATTTTGTGATGTTAATAGACAGTACACCATCTCCTTCAAGAATAAACTCAAGAGATAAGCTCTAGATAGTGAATATAAAATCCCTAAAATTAATCTGCTAGGTAGGCCGGACATGGACGGACTTCACATTATATGCTTCGTCCACCACTCTATGCAGTACTTGGAACAGTTCCTAGCATCTAGTAGTTAATCACAACTTGGGCTTTGAACAAATGAGTAAAAAACGAGATGATAAATAGTAGTCAAAACTTCAAAGCATGATCTTACTAATCACTAGGCTAAATATATGAATGAACTCAAAGTTTAAAACGTATCATTGTGTACCATCAAGTCATACATAGCTGACTGTGAAGCAGGTTTTCAGAGGCTTTCAATCACACAGGATGAGATTGTCCTCTCTCTCACTCACTCTCTTTCTCTCACTCTATTCAGCTGGCAGATTCAAACTGCATATCTTAGAGTTGAAAGCACAAATTCTTACCACTAGGCAACCTGAGCTCCTTAATAAATAATCAAGGAGAAGTTAAAAGTGACATCTAACTTCCTACAGTTTAACTTTCAGGGAGAAATACTTCAAAATATTTCTTGTTAATCATTGTGAAAAGTTGTTCATAACTGAGTGGATCATATTGTGATGACTTGCCATAGCACTTCTGATAACTTGAAGAAGGAATTTTAAGAACAAAGCAGGAACTGTACGTATGTATAGAATGTGAAGGGAGATAATACGTTATTAAAAGAAAAACCATACATAAATGTCTAGTAGAAAAAATAAATAATAGTAAATGTGCTTGTGAGAAATGCTGTCTCCTTATAAAGGTAGAAATTGTCATTCATATTTTAATTGTGAAATAATTTGCTGGTGTTAATTTTTCAGTTTGGTGAGCATCATTGTAGATAAACCTATCCCCTTGTATCAGCCCAAAGAGAACAATGAAGTCTCTTACTTAGCTTACAGAGATCTTGGTGTGACTTTTTCTCTATCCTTAACCATATGTAACTTGTATTGCAGAAATTGGAATGGGATTGACAGGATTTGGAGTGTTTTTCCTGTTCTTTGGAATGATTCTCTTTTTTGACAAAGCACTACTGGCTATTGGAAATGTGAGTTTTTAAATAGGTTTATAAGCTAATTTAACCATAATAAATCATTACTGGCTTTTAAATTTGCGGAAATAATCTGCTGTTATAAATAGGTAAAAATTCCAGCTATGTTCTATATTTCTGTCAATAATGAAATCTTTAAATATGGGATACCTCATTTAACTCAAAAACATAAACCAACTTTTAAGAACTTCATTAATCTTTTTAATGATCTGTTAATTATTAATATACTTAGAAAGTATATGTAATTATTGATATGCTTAGAAAGTGCATGTAAAGTTATTTCTTTGAAATGTACAGTAATATTTATTTGTGGAGGTTATTCATGAGTTCTGGAAGTAAATACTATGCCTTTGAAGAGAATAAGATCACTGAAGAGAGTTTTTGTATGAAAGGTATATTTCTTTTCAATTTGATTGAGAAATAGAAAAAGATAATGTAATTGTTAACAGTTGATATTGTTCTAGATGATAAGACAAACAGCATTGGTATCTTTAATTTGAAGATTAACTTTTAGATGTAAGTATATGCATATGAAATATGTCCCATTAAAATTAATGAGGCAGGGCAAATATTCAGGACTAAGACATGGAGAAAAGCATGCTTTTGTAGATCACAATTTCTTGTCCACTCTTCTATCTAAAGACATACAAACTGTATTTAAGAACACATTATTCTGTTTTTATTTTTTTATGGCAGCAGATACTCTGGAATTGTCTTTCCTGATCTTGCATGTTTTCCTCTACTGCACTTAGCCATTTCAGGATCTCCCCATATAGAGGGCCATCTCTCTTTATACCTTATTACTTTATCTGCTGTAATAAACAGTCCCTACCCATCTAGAATTGCAAACACTACTGGAGATGCAGGTACTTAATGATAAAGCATAACCTTTCTTGTTTCTCTTTTCTCAGTTAAGATAGAAGAAAATGAAAGGTAAAATACAACTCTTAACTCTCACATGCATAGTCTGCTCTGCTCTGATTCTTCCTTGTTCCTTATAGTTTACTCCCTGACCAGTCATTAAAAGCCAAACAGATGTGCTACTTTTTATTATATTTAGCTTTGATCTTGTTTTTCAAATATATGCCATATAATTAAAATTGTTATTTCTATGTTGCATTTCTTTTCTATTCTAGGTTTTATTTGTGGCTGGCTTGGCTTTTGTAATTGGTTTAGAAAGGACATTCAGATTCTTCTTCCAAAAACATAAAATGAAAGCGACAGGATTTTTCCTTGGTGGTGTCTTTGTAGTCCTTGTTGGTTGGCCTTTAATAGGCATGATCTTCGAAATTTATGGGTTCTTTCTCTTGTTCAGGTAAGGCAACCATTTGATTTTCTTTTTCAGTGAACCAGAATGTCAAATTAGTATTACAGACCAAACCCAAGGTCATTACTGTCAAGTTGGCCTTAACTCGTAGCCACCTTCCAAGACAGTACAACTGTCCTGTAGAGTGTCCTCTGCTGTTCTCTTTATGGAAGCATAGTGCCACATCTTTTGTCCACAAAGTAGTTTGTGGATTCAAACCTTCCCCTTAGCAGTGAAGTGGTTGGCCCTCATGACACCAGGAGACAATTACTACAGAGTTCCAGATGTTTGAATTATTATGACTAGTTGTTGTTGTTACTATATACCATCAAGTCAGAACTCCCTCAGAACTGACCCTCCAGCAAGTTTCAGAGGCAGTAAATCTCACAGGATGAGATTGCCTGCCCATCTTTATCTTGTAGAGCAGCTGAAGGATTTAAACTGCTTGCCTTTACATTAGCGGTGCAGCTCCTTACCACTAGCCACCAGAGAAAGACAGTTACTTTCTTTCATGGATTTTTGTTTAAATTAATTTTTTTATTACACTACCGTGTCAACTGTTAAAACTTACCAAGTGCAGATGATTGCCAACACATAAACAGTCTTCAAAGTAGTTGCAATGTAATAAAATTATTTTTATTTGACATTTTATGATATTGTAAGTAGTTTAATATTTACATCAGCTAAAGAGTTGAATAGAAGATTTCAAAAGGCACCATGGGATGACAAAATATTACTATGAAATGTAATATTACAATGAAATGTGCAAGAAGTTGGAGTCAGAAAATCCAAAGGGCTGAACTCGCTCAGCATTTCTTAAGTTCAAGGAACTGAAGAACAGATTCAAACCTCGAGTTGCTATAATCAAGGACGCTTTAGGCAGAATATTGAACAATCCAGGAAGTATTAAAAGAAATTGGAAAGAATATACTGAGTCACTGTATCGAAAGGAATTGGCAGACACAGAAGAATTTCATGAAACAACATATGAGCAAGAGCCTATGATGCTGAAGGAAGAGTTCAGGCTGTTTTGAAGAAAATAGGAAAAAATAAGGCCCCAGGAATAGATGGTATACCAACTGACATATTTCAGCTAACAGATGCTTCCCTGGACGTGCTCACCAAGTTGTGCCAAGAAATCTGGAGAACAACCACTTGGCCAACTGACTGGAAGAGGTGACCCAACAGAGTGTGGAAACTATAGAACAATATCACTGATTTCACATGCAAGCAAGATTCTACTGAAGATTATCCAAAAATAACTGGAACAGCACATCAGCAGAGAACTGCCAGAAGTCCAGGCTAGGTTTAGAAGGGGTCATGGTTCTAGGGATATTGTAGCTAATGTTAGATGGATCTTAGCTGAAAGCAGGGAATACCAGAGGAATGTATATTTGTGTTTCATGGACTATGCAAAGGCGTTTGTCTGTGGATCATATCATAACAAACTGTGGCTGACTCTGAGAAGAATGGTAATCCCAGAACACTTGATCATGCTAATGTGAATCCTATACTTGGACCAAGAGGCAGTCATCAGAACAGAGCAAGGAAACACTGCATGATTCAAAATTGGGAAAGGACGTACACCAGGGATATTTCCTGTCTCCATACTTTTTCAACCTCTATGCAGAGCAGATTATCCGGGAGGCTGGGCTCTATGAGGAGAATTGTGGCATCAGGATTGGTGGAAGATCTATTAACACTCTGCGTTATGCAGATGACATAACCCTGCTTGCTGAAACTGAGGAGGACCTGAAGCGCTTGCTGCAGAGGGTCAAGGACTGCAGCCTCCAATATGGATTGAGGCTCAATGTCAAGAAGACAAAGATTCCCACCGCTGGACCAATTGGCAGCATCAGGATGGGTGATGAAGAGATTGAGATTGTTCACAGCTTTAGTTTGCTTGGCTCCACATTCAACACTCTTGGCACCAGTAGCCTGGAAATGAAAAGACGTATTGCACTGGGAAGGTCTGCTGTTAGGGACCTCTCTCCACAGTACTGAAGAGCAGTGTTGTGTCCCTGGAGACTAAGGTCTCATACAGGCCATGGTCTTCGCAATCACTTGTTATGCATCAGAGAGTTGTACAATGACTGGGGAGGATAAAAGGGTTATGCCTTTGAGCTGTGGTGTTGGAGAAGAGTATTGAGGGTACCATGGACTGCTAGGAAAACAAATAGATTCAGCCTGGAAAGGGTTAAACCTGGCTGCTCCTTGGAGGCAAGGATTCTGAGGCTTCGTCTGCCATGCTTTGGTCATGTTGTGAGGAGAGACAGGTCCTTGGAGAAGGACATCATGCTTGGGAGGGTGGAGGGACAGCGCAGGAGGGGAAGGCCCTCTATCAGGTGGATTGATTCAGTGACTGGGGTAATTGGGATGGGAGTGTCAGAGACAGTGCAGTTAGCACAGGATAGAGCAGAGTTTAGGGCTGTTGTACATAGGGTCGCTATGAGTTGCAAGCAACTCGACAGCACATAATAGCAAAAAACCATTATAGAAGACATATAGGTGGGTTGTTACTGTGTACTGTCAAGTCAGAACCAACTCACAGCTGACCTTCCAGTAAATTTGCAGAGGTTCTAAACAGCGTAGAAAGTGATTGCCTGTCTTTCTTTCACAGAGCTTATGGTATATTTGGGTGGTGTGCCTTTTGATTAACAGTGCCACTCTTTACCACTCAGCTCCTACTGCTACCTTATCAGATGAGTAGATCCAACATTTTAATGCATAAAGCTGGATTCTTTATAGTTACTGCTGTGTGATAGTTCATTTATTATAGATTCATAGGAGAAAATTCTATACCAGGCACACCATAGGAGATTTTATTTTGCCAGTCCTTTTCTGGTTTTATTTACTATCGAGTTGGATCCAACCCATACCTCTGGCAGATTTTCAGAGGCATTTAATTGCATGGGAGGAGAATGCACATCTGTCTCCCATGGAATAGCTAGTGGACTTGAATGAACCCCATTCCCTAGAGATTGCAGCACAGCTTCTTGCTACTTGGCCATCAGATCAAGTTATATATTTGCTTGTGAACAAGTAAATTAAACAATAGTATACAACATGAAAATAGTACCTTTTGTTAAAAGTCTTCTATCAAGTGCTGTATTAGTCATAAGAGATAAACTAAATGCCAGATCTTCTTTAGGGAATTTCTTTTTTATAGTACGGGAAATAGACATCTAAAGATACTGGTAGGATACAGTAAAAAGACCATTACAGAAATAGAGACAAGGTCTTAGAAGAGCATAACTAAGTCTAGTAAGAAGTAAAAATTGTTAGCTGGTGAACTAGACCTTGAAAGAAGGAAGATCAATTAACTAATCAGAGTAGCAGTATTGTTAAACTGCAAGTTTTAGTTCTCAGTCAGGCTAACCTCATTCACAACAAGATCTCCCTACTGTAATCCATAGGGTTTTCATTACCTGATTCTCTTAGACCTTTCTGGTTTCCCCAGTCTAGAAGGTCTACACTCAGTCTTGAACTGACAGGCCCATGATGGCTGCACTTAAGGTGTACTGGCCAAGAATCCAATGCAGGTATAACGGATGAATGGTGAGAATTTTACATCCAAACCACAAAAACAAGTACAGGAACATGGAAGTATGTATCATCAAGAAAAAATGAACGATAAATGAGATGGGAGCCTGTCATGAATGGAATGGAGTAGAGATGCTGCTGGAAAAGAAGATTAGAACCAGGTTGCAAAACTATGAATGACTTAAAAAGTATATGTTATCCCACAACCAAATTTGATGTGTAGGGTTTCAAAGGTCTGAGTCTTTATTCTCAGTGGTTAGAGAAGAGGAGGACACACAGATTTTTAAGGTAGCAGTAAGAAAACACATAGTTTAAGTAAATTTTTGTAGTATCTGTAAAATGTATATTTGAAAAAGGATAGTGTTCATTCAAAAGAGAAAGATGAGATATGGAAGACATTTAAGAGGCTGTTACAGTGTAGTGCAATAAGAATAAAGACTGGAATCCTGGAAAAGAACCAAAAATAAAGGAGTATATGGTTAAAGAAAGAAGTTGATTATCACAGGAATGTCTTGTAAAGAAAGCTTAGTAACTTTGAGAACTCTGCAGGAAGTTCATTTGCTTTTTTAATTATATAGCAAGTTTAGTGTTCAGGCACAAAAATAAAAACTAATCATTGAAATTAATAAAGAATAAGTTTTAGCATCATTGATAAATTTTTTAAAAAGACACCAACTCCACATTGGTGTTTAGAGAAGGTTTTGCTGCACCGTACTGGCTTTTGTTACTGGATTTTGTTCTGAAATATACTTTGAAGTATATAGTCCTAAGAGTCTTAAAGGTAGTTTTCTGGATATTTATATTTCTTAATAGTAGCACATTTAATTACACATTTTCTTAAATTTAGTGCTACTAGAAAGTAGTATTTTTGAGATCTGTATATACAATCAAAATGAGAACTACCTTTTCTAAAATTAAAAACCCTACTTTCTGTATGCAATTATTTTATTCTGTATCCACTTCCAATAAAAAGCTTACCTCTGGAAACTATAAACTTGGGAGAAAAAAAATTAAAGTTTTGCACCTAAGACTTAAGTTCATAGGGTCGCTGTGGGTTGTCAAAGACTATGGCACTTAACAACAATTCTTAATTTATTGCTTAGTCTTTTACATCTGTCCATTGTATTTTCATCTCTATATACCTAATTTTGGAAAAGTCTATATACCTAATTTTGTTGGAGTTCTTGGCTGGCATACATAGTTAAGTGCTCAGGTGATCACTGAAAGGTTAGTGGTTTGAGTCTGTCCCGAGGTACCTCAGAAGAGAGACCTGTGAATCCACTTCAGAAAATCAGGCGTTGGAAAGTCTGAAACCAGTCATAATCCACATAGAGTCACCGTGAAGCCATTTTTATACCTAATTTGTTTTCAGAAGAGGTTCATTCTCTATGCATATTTTAATAAACTTTTTATATAGAGATAGGTCAACTAGTCAACAGTTTCTTTTTAAGTTGTTGACACTTTGTAACGTCTCTGAACTAGTATTTCTACTAGAAAATGGGAGTTACTGTGAAGTTACTAAAAACCTGTCTTACAGATCGTCCAGTGTGTCAGAATACGTGATGTTTTGAAATGTTAACACTTAGTAATTTTTTTGTGTATGACAGCTTTTGTTATAATGGCCCTTCCCTTACGCTATCTCCACTGCTTTTCTTTTGGCCCCTTCTACTGGCAGAACTCACCATAATGGAGGGAATCATCAGTAGGTCAGCTGAGACATAACTGATTAACTTGAGTGTACCATGTAGCTTGCTCTTCCAAATTTTTACCAATAATCACATTTTCTAACAACGTTTGTCTTAAAGTTTAATGTCTCTAAAACAGTCATTATTTTAATGGAATCTTTCTTTTTACTTGGTTAGCAATTTATTTGGTGATAGAATGTGTTAAGCTCTAAGAGCCTTTTCCTTTTTCTCTCCCAGGGGCTTCTTCCCTGTGGTTGTTGGTTTCATTAGAAGGGTACCAGTCCTTGGGTCCCTCTTGAATCTACCTGGAATTAGATCAGTAAGTAGACACATATCTAGCATTGTGTATTTAAAATCATAAAAAGAAATACTTTTTGCTGCTTTTTAATTACAGAAATTTAAGTAATTGATAGTTGATTGAGGAGTTGATAACTTTTTTAATTATCATATAAATGTTTCCATTACCTGGAACATAGTTATTGTAAATACCAGAGACAATAAGTACTGCTAAATGGATAAAAACTGAACTTGAATTTCACTACATCAATTTTTAATATTGTTCTCTTATTTTAAATGTATCTCAAATTAATATCATTGTTACCTTTCTTTTTGAGGATTCAAAGCATTTTTCCATTAACTTTGATCTCTACTATTTACAAACAGTAATATTAATAGTATACAATGTCTTCTTGCAAATATTTATTTGTAAGACTGCATCACTGAATAGAAGGGTAAGATAGAAGATTATCTTACTGCTTGTTAGATGATACTATTTTGTCCTCAGCTCTATTCACAATTTCAGCAGTTGGGTTTCTTCATCAAGGGCGTCATTTGTATCCTGATAAAATAGAAGAGGGTGTAAAATGAAAAGGTTGATAAAGACTAAAGAGAACATTTTAAAAATTGACAAGCGAAGTGATTTCATTCAATTTATTATCTAATTCTTGATAATAAATTACTATTGGAGAGAGTCATAGTGCCTTTCAGATTCATCTTTCTTGTTGACTTCTCAGAAGAAGCTTCCTTTATTCACTATGACCGGACATGGTCAGGTCTCTGCCTCTGTCACAGCACTACTTCTGTCTTATTGTTGGGAGGCTTGTATATGAATTGTTACAGTCCCTGAGAGCAGCAACAGACAATATTTTGGTCATTGTTCTATTCCAGTGCTAATACAATACCTGGCACATGATGAAAACACTGGAATATGTGCTTAATGGAAGATTGAATATAATTGATCCTCAAGGATTCCAGTTACTTTCTTGAAATTTAAATCCTAATTTCATTTAAATTTAGGATTTAGTAAACTGAATGCATAAATTTCAGCATCTGGGTAATCTGGAATTCAGCTAAGTTGGGGACAGTCTTTTGGCTCTAGATCTAACCTTTGGTTCCATGTCCTTTTCTGGAAATTTCATAGTTTCACATCTATCCTGAACAACTAGGGTAAACTAGCTTAAAAGACAGATTTAAAAGATCACAAGTTAGGTGTTAGAGAGTCCATCTACTTCCTAAACCTTTAGATTTTAGATCTTTAAAAACTAGCTATCAGTATTTGTTAGATTCTGAATGAGCTAAGGGATGGCTTGTCTTAATCAAATTCTATTTCCATCCCTAGACCAATTTTAGAAGCATTACTTTACAGCCATGGCAACCTAGATATTTAAGTTCTCCTTGGAGAATGTTAAAATTTTTCTCTTGTTTATTTTAAAATTCAAATGGCTTGACACATAACACTCAGCATCTTTTAAATTCTAGTAAGAAAATTAACTATGTCCTTAATTTAAGGAATATGCCTTAATTATATAATTGGACACTCAGCACTCTAGATTACATTCACTGTCACTACTTAATCATAATAAAACCACAAGTGAAATATGAGTAGTGTAAAGAAAGAAACTGTTAAGATGATTGGTAAGTTTTGATAGTATCTTAACCACTTGAGTTATGTAATTTTTAATATCTCTACTTTGATTTAGTCTTTGAATCACCATCTGGAATGCTAAAGAAAACCAACTGGCTTTATATTTGAGGTTAAGTAGGTAATATGAATGAATAGCTAAATTAATAAGTGCTAAAATTTATACTTAGTAATTATCAATTTATACTTACATCATTACATTTGTTTTTAATGTTGTTACCACTTTTAGTCTGAGTCTAGAATACACATTTAAAGAATTTTTAGTCAATAGTTGTTGTTAATTACTGAACTTAATGGAGTTAAATCTGTTTGTTCAAAGACTACATAGGCCCAGAAGAGAGCCACAGTTAATGGTCAGTTGAAATATCTTACTGAGTTCATTTAATGCATGAATGGCTGGTGTTTCAGCATCTTTTTTTCTTTTTCTTTTTTTTCCTTAAGCTAGCAGTGTTAAACATCATTTATCCAATTCATTTATTCATTGTGTTGCATTTGTCATGTTGCACCTTTAAAGTCATATATATATATATATATGTATATACATATAACATGTGATGGGGGAAGAAAGACTTCTTTGGAAAAATTTTTTTGTTTTATTTTTTTAATATTTATGTGTCAGAAGATGGTGGTGAGTAATACTGGTTTAATCATTGTCAGTCATAACTTAAATTTCCACAGATTTTCTTGTAAACTTGTAATTTTTTTAATCAAGTTTTGAAATGTAGATAAAATTTACAATGTTGGCAGGCCTTTTCCCCCCACCTAACTCTTTATTTCTGTTTTTGTTTTTACCTTACAGTTTGTAGATAAAGTTGGGGAAAGCAACAATATGGTATAACAACAAGTGAACTGAAGACTCATAAAATATTGTATTATTTATAAAATCCTCTGAAGAATATTCAGCACAAAACTAAATTACATGAAATAGCTTGTAATGTTTTTTACAGAAGTTTAAAATGTATAGCCTACAAAGTACCAACAGCAATTAGGAAAGGAGCAAAAACAGGTTTGTAACCCAGTGATCTAAGAAGTCAGCGAGCAAACGGAAGGAGGTGAAATCAGCATTACAATCCATACTGAAACTCTTGAAGGCTATTATTATTTTTTCCACAATGTGTGAAACACAGCCATCCTTAGAGAATTGTGCCTGTTCCTTTTCTTTTTTTATTTTGAAAGTGTGGGAACACCCATAGGCATTGCTGTTTAGCTTTGTCCACTGTGCTGTATCTCTGAAAGTGATGGATGAGGTAGATTGGATTATGTCATTTTAAAACTTGGAAGAACAGTTTTCGGTTTTTAATCACCTTTTTTTTTAATGTGGTTAAAATACAACCTTTCTAGTTCTTCTGAATCTTAATGTTTTAAAGCCAGGTGCAAATCTGAACTAGATATTCTTTGTTAGAATATGAAAAGGTCATGTTTTTTAGTTCCTGTATTTATAGCTGGCTGTGTGCACTTTTTTGGTCAGCACACACTCTGGAAATACTCATGCTTATTGAGAGTCCAGCCTCCAAGTATCTGCCTGTTATTGTTCACTTAACAAATAGCGCTCTTGACTATAAAGTAATCTGTTACAAGAGTTGTATCGATGAAGTCTTTTATTTAAGGTACTAAATGGTGCAAAGAAAATGTGTCTTTCAGTGTCATGATGTAGTTTTTCTTTTTTAAAATTTCATTTTCTTTTTCATATATTAAAATAACTATTGGCATTGTTTACTTTAAAATATGTAAGTTCTTAAAAGGTTAAACTTAACATCTTTTTTTTTAAAGGGCTGTTCATCCAAGCTGAGTTTTCCTTTTATATCTTCAACCTTTTCATAAATAAAAATCAGTATGTATGACACATGCTTCATGTGAGCACTCTTCATCTGGAAGTGGAGACCATTTCTAAGATTACATATGGACGTTATTTTACTCTCATTAAACTGACTCAAGATTCTTAAAAACAAGACACTAAGAAAATAATGCATCATCATTTTCCTTGGAAGCAATGTTTGTGGTAGATGTAGGAGCACATTAAACAGCCACAATACTATTTATCACTAATGATTGCACTATTGACTTTTTTAACACCCGTAAAATTTATAATGCATAAAATCATAATTGAAATTTGTAGGGATTTTTTTTATGGGTTTTTTGGTTTTTGTTTTGGTTGGGTTTTGTGTTGTTTGTTTTTTTGTGTGGGTTTGTTTTTTTTTTTTTAATTTTAAAAATATGTCTACAAAATATAGTACAGCTTACAGTTTTCTGAAGTTTGATCTTTTGGTGCCCAGAGAATTTGCAACCTTGCTCGTCAAAAGAAGGAAAGACTTGGTATATAGTCTCATGGTTCCGTCTTGTGGATTACTGTCTTTTTTTATACTAGTTATATATAATCTGTAAACATGCAAGGGTATTGACAAATGAAGACTCCTACCTCAATAGTTCATGAAATAAGAAGAGACCTGGTATTATGTCTAATGTTCTTTTTTAAAAAAGTAATATCTTCATCTGGAGAGCATCAAATACGTATATATATATACACACTTTGGGGACTGACTTATACACAGTGCCCAGTAGGACTCTTGATATACATATTTTTGACTGACCTGTATTATTTAAGTGTCTAGGTAATTCTGCCTTTTTAGAGCAAGAACTGTTAATGTAAGGAATATATTATTTAACTCCTTTGTAGACATATATTTCTATCAAAATGCTCTTTGCACTGTGACAGAGATGCTTTGTTCAGTAAATTTTTTTTTTTTTTTTCTCAGAAACATTAAGTGAACAAAAGCTTGGGACAGATTTGATAATCTCCCATTCTTTTCTAAAATGGTGAGGCAAGAGCAGTTTTCTGTTTGAAATGACTCCACAGTTAATATCATATGTGAGTTTGGGACTCCTGGCAGCATTGTTTATGCTTTTTCTATACTCTTAATGAGGCTCCCTTTTGAAACAAACTAGTCTGACAGAAAGTACTATATGTACATTGTATTTTCTCTTCCTTCCAATACTAGCTTGTATTTGTGACCAAAAAAAACATATATTTTTTTTTCAGTTATTTCCCTAGAGAAAGAGGAAAAGGTCTAATACTGCTTAGCCTTAAGTGTTTCTGTCATTGTTCAAATGTATTTCCTATATAACAGAAACATATTTGGATTGTTTTTCTTTTCCCCTTATAAATTGTAATTCCTTGAACACTGCTGCTTTAAAAAGTCTCATGGTCAAATTATATGATCTAACAATTGAATATTGTAAATATATTTGTCTTACCTCTCAATAAAAGGGTTCTTTTCTATTTCTGGTGAAGTATATTTTTATTATAAAATACTAAAAATTAGTATTGTAAAGTAGCCAACCCAGTTTTTAAAAGTTTTCTCTCTGTGCAGTTTGCCTCTTAAAAAGTAGTCATCATTTTTTTTTTCAAATAGGTTAAATTGAGATATGCAACAAACTCTTAATTTTACAAATTGTGAAAAGAGTTAAGTCACTTTCTTTGGGCAGTATTCTGTTAGGAAACTTAAATTCTCAGGTCCACTATCATTTGGTTGTTAAACAGACATTTTCTGAATACCTTTTGAGTATTAAAATGCCTGTATTGACTTCAGGACCATAGAATTATGGTAATTCTCCATAAAAGAGGAGCCCTCAGGCCTTGTTTTACTTGTGTTTAGGACAAACATTCCTCTAAGTAGTTCAGCATTGGTTTGTCAGTTTGCTATACAGAGGTAACTTGGGGTTGCTGGGATGCTAAACACTGTGCACTGATGTGTCAAATGCCATAATAGTTACCCATAGTGGACAGTGTGGCAGAGCTCTGAGGCTTGGAAGCAGGAGTGGCATCCACTTCCTAAACAGCGTGCCTCTGGAAAGTATGAATTTAGAGAAGTGACAACAGTTATACAGGTTTCAGGTCTTTTGTTCATAGGGTCTCTATGAGTATCTTTGACTCAGTGACACTTAACAACAGCTAGTGGAAGAGTGAGCTCTGGTGGCCTAGTGGTAAGAAGTTACACTGTAATCCCAAAGGCACATGGTTCGAATCCACCAGCTGGTCTGTTGTAGGAGAAAGATGAGCAGTTTCCTCCATTGTGATTAACTGCCTCTGAAAACCCTCTGGAGGGTCAGCTATGACTTGATTCCGACTTGATGGTACACAACAAGTGGAACAGTAGGAAGCTCTTGACCTAGTGGTAAGGAGCGGTGCTGTAAACCTTAGGCACACAGATCTAATCCACCAGCTGCCTCAGAGAAGATAGGTGGGCAATCTCACATGAGATTTACAGCCTCTCTAAACCTGATGGAGAGTCAGCTATGAGTTTGTTCCAACTCCACAGCACCTAATAAGTGGACTTTAGTCATCAGACTGCTGACTGACATGGTAGCAGTTCCGATTCGACCATCAGCTATTCCGTTAGAGAAAAATGAGGCTGTCTGCCTCAAAGATTTCTGTCCTCAGAAACCATAAGATTTCTACTTTGGTTGCTGAGTCAAAATTAGCTATAAATGAATAAGGGTGATGGAAGAGTCAATGACTTTAAATTGTGATGCTTGGCAAAGTATACCGTATATTCTGTGGACTGCCAGAAGAACATACACTTCTGTCTTGGAGGACATAAAACAAAGGTTAGTTCTTTTATCTCTCAGCTTACCTTAAAGGCATCCTTAAGGCAAGGATGTCTCACTGTGGGCATGTGTGTCAGGAGGGACCAGTCCTTGGGAAAAGACATCATGATGGGAAAAGGTTAGAGTCAGAGAGGAAGACCCTCAATAAGAGGCTGACATAGTGGCTTAGCAATGGGCCCAAACATAACCGTATTAGGAGGATGACACTCCAGATAGAGCAAGATTCAGATCTGCTTAAGAGTCTGAATTGTAGCCAACTTGATGGCACCTAACAGCTGCTGTGGGTCAGCAGTATTGATAGTCGCCCATAAAAAGTTTATAGCTTTACCATTAATTCAGAGTTCTTCAATCTCATTCCCAAGCACTCACCTCAAATTGTACTGGCAAGAAGTGGTAGAATAATTTGTGGTCTTTGCACCCTAACTTCTTCAATCAGTAGTTACTAGGACTGTTCAGACTTCAGCTATATTGTTGATTGACATTTTCAGAAGATACTTTTGGAGAGAAAAATGACTTGTTTTAACTCATTTATGTCTCAAAATACAACTTATTTTGAAATGTGTGTACTTATATGAATATATGCACATAATATTTTTTCAGTGTATCATTTTATTGGAAGGGTTGTTTGGCTTTTTTAAATGTAAATCCAAAGATACAGAACTGCTATTGCTATTTATGTATTCAGATGCCTGCTATAAAATTGACATTGCTAAAGGCAATTACTCCCATTTTCTTAAAGCTCCTATGATTACTGCTATTGTAAAATATAAAAACTAGACAGTGAATTTAAAAATTAGTGGAAAAAAATGTTTCAGCATTTTTTTTCCTCCAAGTGGAAGGAGGGACCTAAATGAAACCAGTTAACATCTCCAGTGTTTTGATCATCATAAATTTTGGTAAAGTAAAAATGCTACTGTGTGTCATTGGTTCAATTCTGACACCTAATGACCCTTTAGTACAAGGGTAGAGCTATCCCGTGCAGATTTCCTGAAAGGAGCAGATAACTTTAATACAGTCACTGGGATCTGATGTAGTTAGAATCTAAAGTGCTAAGAGCGTTAAGATTTTCAAAAAGCTGTAACCTGCAATTAAGGCCTGACTAAGTTTTAAGCCTTTTAAGTCCTGATGCCATTTTTAACCTTTCATGCCTTCTCTAGACTTTGAAATCAGCCACAACATTGCCAGAATTATTCAAGGACCTATCAACCCTTATTTTCATGAAGAAAAAAAGTT